ATTGAAAAATCCCACAACCGTTATTATAAAATGCAAAAGTAACAAAATGAGTCGTTATTAAAAAATTGCCGTAGAAAACGGTGTTCGTTTTAAAGAAAGTAGTGCACATGGATAGTGCAGTTCAAATGTAAAGGTTTTGATCGAATCCATCCGCTCTTCAGTATTGATATGTGTCTTGTATTGGGCGGAAAACAAAAAAGTATAACACATGGCTTACGTACAGAATTCATTAGTAGAGAAATGTAACTCGCTAAGCTTCGTCTTTGCTACGAGAACTGAGTAAATCGCGATCAAACGTGCTTGCCAAAAGCTCATACAGAATAAAATGAATTTTTTCCTTCAATGGATTAAAATAACAAATATGAAAAAAAAAATAACTTGGAATTCTGTGACAGTGAGACAATTTCACGATATGGCGTGTGGGTATTTTGTATTCTGTGCCTACCGAACCGAATGATTTCATAGTTATTTTTCATCCCTGATGTTTTAACACCCCAAAAAAGATCATCAAACAATAATGTAAGCGCCAATTTTGACCTGGTGATTATTTTCATCGAAGAACGCAATGAACAAAATGAAGAGAAACTTTAAGCTGCTGACCTGTATCTGTAACTCTCCGGGTCTTCACGGCATCCTGAAATGAATGTCACAAACCACTCATTAGTGGTTATGCTATTAACTAAGACCATTAAATTTGCTTTTAGTAATAATTTTTTTTTAAGAAAAGTAAAGTCCTTCTCAAGCCGCACCATTGGGCAGTGACAAGGCTGACATTTGCTAAACTAAAGAGCAACAAAGCTTTGGTCGGGTACCGTCCATAAGTGTCAGTTCGGTTCGCAAACTTGACACAATTAATAAAAGTACAACACATCCTGACACGCGATGCGTCACAAGATTTAAAAATGTAAACGAGGGCAAAATACGCTTTTAAGATCAAGTACATTAACGTGCGTCAATATAATAACAGCGAGATTATCTTAACGAAAAACTCTCTTGGCCGTGTTGGAAGAATTTAAGGTGATGATAGGCTTTGCAGATTGTATGCCCGTCAGCCACTTGATGAAAGTAACAACATGACACTGTGGTGAGACTTACATAAATGCGCTTATTTTGATTGGTTATTTGATTTACTTTCCTGAAACGGAGTTTACCTAGGTTATGACGTCAAGATATAAATTGACCTTTTATTGCGCTCTGTTCATAAAAACAGATTTTAATCTTTACTAGACGAAAAAAATTTTTTTTTGCCGCCAGCGCGTATGTTTAAGTTACACTTCGTTAACGAGGAGGATGCTATCTATTTCCTCAAAATTTTCGACAAAAAGCCTTGCTTGTAGTTTACATTAGAAAAGATGAGTGATTTTAATCGTGACCACAATCTCTTAATCCAAGGTTTAGAACATCAACTGTTTCAACTAAGTAATGCAATTGAAGAAGTTTAAAGAAAGGAAGTTGAAGGAGAAGATAACAAACGAGCGGGGGCTTTTGAATTTATGAGCAGTGTCACATGGAGGTCCAATCTCAGTGGGGATCATCACGCATCGTGACACGGTGAGGAGCAATTAAGAGAATTAGAAACTGTTCATTTGGGCACGAAAAATTCACAGATTTTCAAAGATTTCAGGAGTTTCAAATTTACGACGAATTGTGGTGATTGCGAGCCATATATATCAATCTGCTTTTGCTTAATTTCTTCTCTTCTTCCGTTGGCTTCTCCTAGGAGCAGACATCACGTGTCGTCACGATGTCTCGGCCATTTGTATCTTGAAAATTTCAATCAAAATGTTGTGATATTATCATTTGCAATCTGTCTAGATCTTTTCAACCTTTGATCCTTTGTTGGTCGTTGACAGGAGCCTATTTGGCGTTATTTTATTTTGGTTAAAGTTAAAGTTAATTTTATGCTCTGTAGGTCAGAATATCGTATCAGACCTCTTTTAATAATTATCCCGTGCATCCTACAATATTCAGTCTGAATTAATGATTATCAATGATATTGTTGTAACAGCTATGATGTGGGCAAAGGGAATGGCGTGGGGCGGATGAAAAGGTTTCTAAAGAAGATTTATTCTTGGAAATTAAAAGGACTGCACTTATTAGAAGGATGGTTTTAAAAATTAGGAAGGAGATAAGTGCATTATGTACAGCGTATTAATCGCCACCACGAGTGTTTGGTTGTATAAAACGCGCTTTTATTGGATGTTATAATGTAAACAACGAGAATGGGACAGGAAAGCAATGCCGTCCAGAAATTATGTTTGTTCGTGTACGCTATTGCTATCTCAGCCTACAGCAATCTTAATCGACTTGAATCAAATCTTTCTATGATAAGGTTGCGGCTACAGGCCATTAAAGTAATTACGGCTTCATCGGCGCACTTTGTGACTTGACGTGAGAGGCTTTTAGACTGAGAAATGTGATGGTGAGTGATGAAAAAAAAATGAACGAAACACATAACTTGGAATTTTCCCAAATCCCTTTTTTTTGTTTTCAAATGAAACTCCTCCGACGAAAGCGAGCCAAAGAGAGCACTTTTTGTCTCATAAACACAGTTGTCAAAGGCTTCGGTCTTTGACGAAGTTAACCATGTTTGTAATAACACTTTTGTAAAGAGGAAATTTTTGAGGATGAAAAATATGGCTATGTGTACTTGCCTCTTGAAAATGAATATACAATGTCACTTAGAAACATTTTGTTGGGTTCCCTCAATGTGTATTTTAAAATTATTAGCCAAGCGAGAATTTCAGGGCAAATTTGGAATTCTTCATGACTCTTCTATTAAATTAAGAGTACGGTATGGACATATAACAAAAATTATCGGAAACTTGTTAGAATTTGATCCAGAACACGTGCAGAACTTGAGCAAGCGATTACCGCGATCAGCAAGTTCAGTTCTGTTCGCTCGTACAGAATCTGGTTGCTACAGAACGAGAACGACAAAATCAAACTGAATTAGAGAATTACGAAATGTTCATAAAACTTACCGTTTAATGATTTGCTTTTCCTTTTCGCGTCTTGGAGTTCCGCTTTTCCGAGAGCTCTTCGGCGTTTATCGGAGTCACACAAACGTCAAATGAAGGGGATTAAATTTTAACGTGTGCAGGGAGTCTTCTTTATAGTATGAAGCAAGTTTGTAAGTTTACAACACCAACGGTTACCCCTTGACGTCAAAGAGCTGGTTCAAAAAGGAGAAATATTGTAACAGTTAGAACTACATCCGCTCCATAACCTTATCCGTTTTCATGCAACTTAACACTAGACTATAAAGCTCTCTTAATCCGGGTCAATATTTTTTCGTTGGTGAAATGTCAAATATATCCTCAGTCAACGTTGTTATCATTATCTCAAGATATTTCAGGCACGTACCGACTCTTCAGAGATAGATCTTGTAAATGCGAGTTTCTCTTTGATATCACTTGTCTTTGGGCTGTTTTATCAAATAAATTCGGGCAAACAAACATGTAGAAATACTGTCGCTAAAATGCCTAAAACGAGTGGGTGCGTTAGATCACTAGTGTCCTTTAAAATGTCTGGCTTTAACTATAAAAGCTTTTTAGTTCGCCGGAGGGTGAGAGAGGAGGGTTGGGGGGCCGGATGATTTTGGTTGTGACAGAGTAAATAAACCTGATACTCCCATATGGCTCTGTATTATTCTGATGATCCCCACTCACCCCACCCATAGGCAGTCAATTTTCTGTAGTCCCCTCAATACTCTGTCGGTGACGACTGATATTCCTCCGTTCTTCCGGAAAACCATGTGATCCTTTAAAATCCTCCTCGCCCCCTCCCCACCACCGAGAAAGAAAAACGGGGTCCCTAACAGACAATTACTGGCATTCTGCCTCATGATATATTTGATCGCCCTCTTCATAATTCTCCAGTGTGCAATTAGGCCAACTGCTTGTTGACTGCATTATCGAGCTTTTCGATCATTTACCATTCTTTCATCATAACCCAAAGCCCTATAATAACATCGTTATCTACCTGATGAAAGATATTTGAGAGAAATAATCGAGTTCAGTGTGGGAAACAGATATTATCTGCAGACCATACAGATTTTTGTCGGGCTGCTCATTGATCTTTTAATGTGAGTCGCTGGTATTTTTGTTTTGTTTTGGTTTGTTTTTTAATCTAGCTGAGTAGTCGAAAACTGGAATTATCTTAAACGTACTGCTTCCGTCTTTTGCATAATCTGATTCGCGCCAGTTGATGTCGTTTGTGGCTTCATTTGCAAGAGCCATCTCGGTTCTTTCCGCCAAATCCATCATAAATGATAATTTCTACATTTGGCATTCCAGGGTCTGTACCTTCCCTATCAAATACAAAGACACACTGTAATCTAAAGGTTACATTTATAAGACAAGAAAAAGAAAGTATTTTTCATCACCAGACCAGAGACCAGAGTTTTGAAACTCCCAGACATATCAATCCACGAGAATTAGATATCAGTTCCACCAGGAGCCCATTACAGTAATGGACTACTGGTTCCAGTTAATTACCACCCTCTTTTAGCAAAGTATCAAATTAAACTCAAGTAGGGGCCCTTAGTGCATGCAATGAGATATAACGAAGTTGATAGATCGTGTAAGGGTGAAATGGTTTTATTGGGGAGGGGAAGGGAAAAGCTAATTCGACAGGGAAGCGTCAAATATTTTGCCTCTCAAAAAACGAATACCGCAAATTAAACTTAGAGTGATTATTTGTACAAGTCGTTAGAAAGGAAGTCACTGTCTTTCATGATCTTGGAAAATGGTCACGGTAAAATTATTTTCACTAGCAAAGAGGGTGGGATTCAAATAAAGAATTTCAAAGTTCCTGATTCTTAGTTTGTATTGCTGAGTTCGTAAATCGTAGTTTTTAGGAAAAATCTGTGTGTATTGCTCTGAATTCCGTGTTCTAAAGTCCAGAGTCCGGAGTAAATATTTGGTGATTCCGTCAAGACGGAGGGCCAACTGGGGAGAGCCTCCATTTCAAGTTGAACGCCTGGCGAAAATGATGTGTCGCGCTGTGCCAGAGAAATATGGAGTATGGAGTCACGAGGTTTGTCACGGGAAAGCTTATATTTCGATTTGAGACTACCTGGAGGCGTTCCTCGAAAATTGAACTAAACAGAGAGACAACATAATCCAAAAGATCAAGAAGACCTCGCAGACATTGTCAAACGTTCGCTTGAATTCGTAGGCATGGCTTTACCTGTCTTCTCGGCGAGATCAAGTTTAGTTGTGGTTGTGTTAATACTGAGTGTGTATTTGCTTTCAGCCAAATCTCATTTCACTGTTTTTGGTAGGAAAGCGGTAGAGCACAATGTCTCGATAAATTTGGATCGCGCTGTGTTCACTGTGAACGAAAAGTTTCTCTCCGTTGCCATTGACTCTAGTATCTTGAGGCACCACTGGTCACCGTACGTAAACTTTACCTCGGAGAAGCTGTATACGCTTGCTAAAGGTCTCTCTCCAGCATTTCTCCGGGTTGGAGGAACTTCAGAAGATTTCTTAATCTATGATGACTCAAAAGACTTCCAGACGTTCCAAAATTTTAGCAATTTTACAATCTCACATGCAGATTTGGACAAGATACACCTTTTGTCATCAAAAGCTGACTGGGACGTCATGTTTGGCTTGAATGTGTTTTTAAGGGGAAAAGATGGATCTTGGAATGCAAGCAATGCAAAAGAAATCATGCAATATGTTGCAGATCATGGATATCGCTTTGGATGGGAGCTTGGGAATGGTATGGAATATTTATGATTAATAGATATTCATTATTTTTGTTAGTGTCAGTTGTAGCAAATGAGATTTAGTTGGCTGAATCAATGTAATTATTAATCTAATCAGATCTAAATGCCACAAAATACTCATTAGTACAAGTCATATACCTTAAGCATGTGGGTGTCTTTGACTATAATCAAACCTTCAAAGTGGCTTTTTTATATACATGCTTTTCTTCCTCAGAGCCAAACTTGTTTAAGAAATTTAACAAGTCTATTTCACCTGAAGAATTGACAGCAGACTTTACCACACTCAGAGAAATACTTAAAAGCAATCCTGGGTTTGGCAACTTTCTTGTTGGCCCTGATGTAACACGCATATTAAATCACTCAAAAAGTGGCATCTATTTGGAGAGGTAATCACTGCAGTCAATATTAAACAGTACAAACATAATAGAGTTTATTTTTATTACTAGAGCCTGACCTTTTTTGGAGGTTTGGTAGGTCCATTTCCTCAGAGGAACTTGCTGAAGACTTTCACACTTTAAGAGCAATACTTGAGGGCAGTCCTCAGTTTGGTAACTACTTAGTTGGACCTGACATGGCAACAGTAACATCTGAAAAAACAGGAAGCTTTTTGAGGAGGTACAGTTGCACTCAGCTGTATGCATTGCAAAAATATAACTCCACTGCTGTTATGAGGACAACTTGCACTTTGAAAAAGCTCATGTTTGCTTAAATAAAATTCAGCACTGTAAATAAATTTATTTTTATTGCCAGTGATTTATTGCATTTTGATGTAAATGGAGGCTTTTGTTCGAAGTGTAACAATGCATCTCTCAAAATTTTAGCTTTTTTACCCATGCCAAGGATGTCATAGATGCAGTTACCTGGCATCAGTAAGTAATTTCCATTTATTCTATTTGGGGTTGTATGACAGTATTATATTTTGTCACCGATGAGATTCCCTTTCTCTTCTGCCCAATGAAACAAAATAAAGCAATAACAAACAAAAAGATTGAAAGCTTCTTTACTCTCTCAACCTTCATGAGTGATTCAGTTGTGATATTGTAAGGAGAAATTAGATGCTCTTAGGAGTCAAACTTAGTGCTCAAAGGGTTGATGGTAGGTAGGCAATGAGTGTGCAGTGCTGAGTTAGGGTAAATAGAGTGAAAAATATGGGAAAGTTAATGTTGAGGGGTCTCTGTCCCCACCCCACCCTGGTTTTTCTTTTCAGTGATCTGATAGTGTTAGGGGGATTGACCAGGCATGGGGCTGGTGTTTAGTTCTGAGGCTGGCTGGACACAATGGATACCAAAAGCTTTGATTTTCCTTTAAAGCAATTCGGTAGGCTAAAATGTGAATTGATGGACACATAAATACCATATGAACAGAAGTGTTGTTAGTAGACTGAGTATTGTACTGTAAACATTGTACTAGCAAATTTCAGTAATCCTTGTCAAAAAAGACAAATGGTTTTGTGTATATTTTATGAGAGAGAAGGCAGTAGAGCCACAGAAATGAGCAGAAGGGCTTCAATACAGCTATATTTTCTTTACTCCTGGATTCAGACTTTGATCTTCATACCTGTTTTTCAGCTGCTAAGGCTGGGGAATCAGTTTCTAGGAGAAGATTTGAAAGTGGAACATTTTTCACAATCTTCTCTTTCTACAAACAAAAACACAAACAAAATTGCAACAAGGATCCTCATCTAGCCCCTGTGCTTGGCAGTCACACAGCAATCTGTTATGATTTTATTACTTATTATTATCAATTTCTATTTCTCAGTGCATAATATGTATGTTAACTTGTTTCATGGGCTTTGCCAACACTAATGCTGAAAATAAACTCTCTGTGTTTCTGTTACAGGTATTATGTCAATGGAAGAACATGCTCTGAGAAAGACTTTTACAATCCAGAGGTCCTGGATTACTTTTTGCATGAAGTGAGTGAAGCCAATTCGATACTGGATGGAATAAAATCAGGATTTTCTCGGTGGCTTGGTGAAACTAGCAGTGCATATGGAGGAGGAGCAAGTGGATTGTCAGACAGATATGTGGCTGGATTTATGTAAGTTGTTCATTTTGATTGGCTGTAAAAATTGTTATAAAGTTGGTTATTTCTTTGGGTTTGCAATCATTTACTTTATTCCTATGACCTTACTATTTGATTTAGGAGTTATTCTTATGGGTTATATAAGATGCTCATCACTCTGAGGGGTTAAATGGATTACTGGATAATTTCCCTTCCCTTAAACAATGGAACTTCCACTGATTTATGTTCAGGAAGCATGGAATGCTAGGGAGATTATTATTTAGCAATTATTTGCTGGAGGTGAGGTGAATATTGTTGAATAATCCTCAAGACAAAGTCAAGGGGATTATTCCACATTGTTATATACATAGACTTTCGCTCAACAAAACAAGCACTGTGATTGATTGATTGTTGATCACGTTCCCCTGATCAAAGTCAAATGTATCCTGACCGTGATACAAATGCGCAGTTGTTACCTGCGCGCCGAATACAGCAGCATATGATTGTTTAAGGGAAAGTCTAAGTATATAACAAAGCACTTAATGTATGGTCCCTCGGGAAACTAGTCGGTTTTGTTTTCCCTTGAGTCCTGAGGAAACCTCTAGACTCTCAGGAAAACAAAACTAACTGTTTCCCTTGGGATCATACATTAAGTGTATAATATTCACTTAGCCTGAGGTGAATAATTGTCTTAGTATAATTGCTCAGGTGCCCTTGAATTCTGTTATAAATTCATTTGTTTGTTGATACCACTCTGTCACTGTTGTTCTGATCACTCATATCGAGATAAGCAGCCAGTTTCCACTATAATTTACCAGGTTTAGTTAATTTAATAAGCAAAACCTCGTTTTTTTTTTATTGAAAAGTATTATGCCAACTTTAGTGGCATTATTTTTGTTCCTTAGAACTATAGTTGTTCCATCGCGTTAATCACTTCCAGCTCAACATTAACAAAATACAAGACAAGGCTTTTTTCCTCCATATGTCTCTTACTTACCGAGTTCGAGGTCCGTGTTGTAAGTTACGGACTGAGTTTTTTCCTCTCGGATATGTATGTCTCTAGCGCGAAGCGCGAGGGCTATAAATCCAAGCGGAAGAAACGAGGTTCCGAAACTCACAGTATGAACAGAGTTGACGAGGTTAGTAACTGTTATTTATTACGCACTGTTTATCTCTGAGTTAAGGTAGAGGGGTAAGATTTCAATTCAAACAAACTTTTCAATTTAGCAAGCCGTATAGACCATCCTACATGTATCTTGAACGATTAATTTTTTTTGATGACCTTCCCCCTAAAAGATTCATACCAAAATCATGTTTGGGCAATTCCCTGGTCGAGAAAGGTTATTTTTTCTTATGTAGTTTGTTTTCCTGTGTTGTCGTTTGATGGAACATGATTTCTTTGTCTTTGTTTTCAAGGTGGCTAGACAAGCTAGGTCTGGCAGCTCGGTTGAAACATGAGGTGGTTGTGCGACAGACGTTTGTTAAAGGAAGCTACTCTTTATTAGATGACGATCTGGATCCAAATCCGGTATGTTCCTAGTATGAATACGATATGGCAAGGCTCAAAAGTACCTGTTTGTTTATTTTCCGCAGCAGCTTTCCTTGCTTGCTTGCCGACAGAAAATTTCCACGAAGGCTGGAGTTTAGCCTTAATAGGTTTATTCCATAGCAACAGAGGATTTTGAAGAAAAAATAAACATAACATCGTTTTGCCACATTTTCATCCGCGTTTACGAACGACAATAAGCTCAACGTGAATTGAGTTCACCGAGTGATAAAATTTAGTGCAGCATACGTGTCGATGATTTAATGGAGCAAATTTAACCAAAAAATAGAGGTAGCATCGATACATTGAAAAAGTTCTGATTAAATCCACTTGCTGACTTCGCTCATCTGCCCGCTTTACTGACTTATTCAGTGCTTATCTTTTTTATAAACAAGCGGTTCTGTGCCTGGGAAGTCACTGTCGTCTCGTTTCTGGTCTCGTCACAGACGGCCCGAGCTCACGTCTCGAGAAAAAGCAAACGATTAATCGTGAAAGTGTCACGCGTTGTGTGACTCTGTGTTAAGTTACGTTGAGAATTTGAACACGTTATACGGAAAAGTATAGGGAACGAAATATGGTCGATTTACAACGATAAACATTTCGAAATATGAACATTTTACACGTAAAATCAATAGCACTTACTCTCATCTTTTGTGTCTGCTGTGGTTTCTGGTAATTCCCGCCGCTCTCATGAGTTAATGGTTGGCTTTTTCTCGAGACGTGAGCTTGGGCCGCCTGTGGTCTCGTTTTGCCTTATCTTTTCTCGTCTACTCCCTTCTCTTATTCTCTCCTCTACTATTCCACTTCCCTCTGGCTTGTGATTGTATGATATGAACAAAGGGAACTCGCATTAAGTTTAATTTTTCTTGTCTTTAGGACTACTGGCTCTCTCTTTTACACAAACGTCTTGTTGGAGAGAAGGTGCTGGACGTGAGTGGTCAGACAGAAGAGAAACGAAAGGTTCGAGTGTACGCCCATTGCTCAAGCAGGTATTTCAAGGTTTCGTTTGCCTTAAATTAATAATAGTTTGAGACGAAGTGCAATTTAAACAAGCGAAGATCAGAACAAATTACGATTGAGTGTCATGGAACTAAAACCAGCGTAAACAAAACGGCCAATCAGATTTAGGGATGACATTGCAAGCGGCTAATGAGAACTAAAATTAGAACACGCATACTATAGGAAAAGCAAACCACAAAATACGATTTTTTTTAGCATGAATCTGATTGGTTGAGATTGTGGTGCGACTTTTTTGTAACCAGCCACACAGCAAACCAAAGCAAAGCAAAACAAGAGAAATCTCAGAAAACCTTTGACACTTAATTGAAAATAAAACCAAGCCAATGTAGCGATTTCACTGATGGGATGTACGAAGTCCACGATGGGTTTGTAGGGCAATGCTATGTGCTTTTTCATGGCTAGCTTTGGTCCTTTGCTTGCTTTATTTCTCCTCCCTCCCTCGCTAATTTTGGGTTTGCTTTCATTCCAGTGTTGTGTCAACAGGTGCCTGGAGCAAGGCTGTGGCTTGGTTACCATGGTGACCTCGCTGCGGAGGAGATTCTTGCATCTATGTGTCTGTCCCCCAGTAAATCACAAGTAGAAAAATGCGTGCGTAATTCAGCCTTATATGTATACTATTGTTAATTTGTTTTGCTTGGCTTGGTGACTAAGTTTGTGAATTTTCTTTTTGCGCAGTCAGTATCCATTGGGTTCTGTCACGCTTCTTGCTCTCAATGTCCTCTTGGATACGCCAGTCGTCCTGAAACTCAACGGTGAACTTAAAGGAAAAGATGTCGACGTATATCTTCTTACTCCTGAGAACGGCGACCTATTGACAAAGTAAGTAAAATCATGTTAGAATTAACTTGCTGAAACTCAGTCCTCTCATCCATGGCATAAATTAATGAAATGGTTGATAAGAAAGTTACTTAGTTACTCACCTGTGCTTTGAAATGCGATATGAAATGGTACCTTATGAGAGACAGACGTCAACACACCAGTTGATGTTCAAGTTATAGTCAGGTGTCATATGCTGCTGTAAAGCAAAGCAGTTTACAGAACACGTGACACACACTAGATGAACTCAGTAATGACAATATCTCACTACTGAGTTCTCTGTGGCACAGTGGTAGAGTATCGGAGCACGGAATCTGCAAGCCTCAGGCTGAATTTCTCGAAGGAGATTAAGATTTCTTCTTTGCTCCTCGCTCGATGCCTTGTTGTTCGACCACCTTCCCGCCATGTCCATGAACAAAACACAATACATAGCCCAACAAAGAGTAGGAATTTCGAATCATGCCATTGAATTGATAAAAGATCAATTGACATCTTTCTCCCCTTAATTACAAGTGCTGCTGTTTGAGAACTTTCTCTCAAATGCTTCGACTGATTCAGACCAGTATATCAATGTAACGTCTTCGTCCCAGAAAGTATTTTATTTTTGAGTCGGTTCTCTTTTTATCGTAAAAAAGACAACAACAAAAAGAATGTTTCTGACTATTTTCCTGTTAAGACTAAAAGAAAAAGCAAAAACAAACAAACAAACAAATACAACGATGCTTACTTTTGAAACAGGACCGTCAAGCTTAACGGTAAAGTTCTCAAGCTAGTGGATGACCGCACGCTCCCAGACCTCGCGCCGAAAAGTGTGCCGGGAGACGAACCCCTCAATCTTCCACCTCTGACCTTTGGCTTTTATGTCATTCCAAAAGCCTCTGCGAGTGCTTGTGGTTAATGGATTAATTTAACAGCTTATGCAGATACGCAGAAAAAAAAAAAAAGTTAATATGCACGACCTGTCAGATTTCGTCAAATGCATTATTGTGAGCACTGGAGTTAAAATATTGAATCACCAGTGGGTATTAACGAATAATATATGATTAATTTATTAAGGAGTAAGAAATGAAACCTAAAATCTCTCTGTTTGTGTGGTCCTTACAATATACAATTTTAAAGTTACAAAGTTTTATGTCAAAACATAAAGTCAATGGGTAAAAAATTAAAAATAAACGAGTTGAATCAGGGCAGAATAATATTGGGTCGTTTATGAAACACTATTTAGCCAATGTCTTGCTGATGCTAGATTGCACCTCAGTATTGTATTATCGTTTACTGTTTGTCATTGAAGTATGTCGTGAAACAGACTCAGGAAAGAGCTTTGTGAGAGGGAAGAAAAGTTCACATATAAGTAATCACGTACGTCTTCGTGTGTCCTTTTAGATTGACTACAAGGGCTCATTTACAATCGTAGTTCGGAGTCCGAGGTTTGTAGTCTGTGTTCCATGTCCCGAAGTATATGGTCTGTGGTCAGAAGACCGCAACTTGAAGTCCGATATCTCTTAGTCCGTAGTGTCAGGTATAGATTGTCCGAGGTTTGTGTTTAGTAGGTTGTACAGCTACAGTTTGTGGTCCATAGTCTGTGGTTCGTGATTCGTGGTTGCCGGCTGTTCACGGCTCGTGGGCAATGTTCCATGGTTTGTAGTTCACAAACTCGTAGTTTTACTTTTCTGGCAGAATTTCCAGCAACGGCCGCCTCTTTTGAACGCCCTCTATCTTTCTCTTAAGGGACAGGTCAGTTATTCTTGTTTGTCTTCTCCCCCACCCCCCTGAAAGTCGATGAGTGCGCAAGGTTAGAAGGGATTGCGAAAGAGAGAGAGTCATAGACAGATTTGGCAAGATATCGCGACCATCCTCGCAGGAGTTCGCCCTGGTAACCGAGGAAATAAAAAATTCTTTGAAAATTGGAGACACGGTAACTGAACATGGTGATTGATGTAAAACACAGATTTTATGCTGGGGGAAAAGAACAGTGAAAATTGATTACAAAATCGCTTTCATCTGGGCTAATAGCGGGAAAGTATCGAGTGTGGTCGAAACTTCGATTCAAAAATTGATTAAAACTCGAAAACTGCGACAAAAAACTGTTAAAAAGAGAGTTTAAGTTTCCGAAATACTATTAGCCACGCATGTCAATATGCACGTTTGTATTTTTTCCCTGACGAAGTTCAAGCCGCAAGTACCTTGTAAGACTGAAAATTTTGTCGTGGATAAGTTTATGCCTCTAGTTGTTATAAATTTGGCTGATGCCAAACTGTGATTTGTATCAAAATGTACTTTATCATTTCATCTGAACCTGAATAACGTATGAACGATTTATCTTTTTTCATGGAGTTTGACGTGTTCACCTGCTGAGACTCGCTAAACTGGAATCGGTTCACTAATTTTCGGAGGGGAAGCTGTGGAAACTCATCCTGTCTTTCTCGCTTGCTTTTTCCACAACATATTCATCGAGTACACATGGCAGTTAAAAAGTGCCTTCCGCAAAAATCTAAGATCGTATTGAATTTATTTCATAAAATTATACCAAATACCCATTAGTATACTGGTATATTTTTACCCCAAAGGCTAGATGATGATTTTCTTTTTTCAATTTAATCTTACATTGTATGAAAACCCCCCTTCCCCACCCACACGCACGCACGCACGCACGCACACACACTTCTGCTCTTATGTCCGTTGTTCGTTTTTAAATGCTGAAAACAGCCTGAAAACTTTTTTTTTACCTTCTGTTTGATATAATACATGCTATGAAGGGGTTAATCCTTGCCGCCGTGGTCACATAAGGTTAAGGGAATTTAGTGATTAATACAAACATTTATCATTAACTCTTTTTTTCAAAAACGCAAATACCGGTCTGTTTCATTTTACTTCTCCCTTTACAAAGACATCGATTAAAGACATAAATTTGCCATTCGTTCTAATTTGCTTGAATTTTTTCCACTTTTCATTTTAAACCATTTTCAATTTCAATTACTTTAAATGCAGGTACACATATAGGTAAGTATTTCATTAAATGTATTCTTTTAAAAAGTTAAGTCTTATCGATGATAACGATTTTCTTTAACTTAAAGGTAATTTTTGTTTCATGTTCAGTCTTTCGAGGCTGTGGAATGTGCCTCTCGAATACCTAGTGAGTGGCCAGAGTGAGACGCTGTCAAAGCGATGGAATCGGCGCGGTTCAACCTGTTCTGGTAATTGCATCGCAGAATGCTGCGCACTTTAGACTTTAAATTTCCCCCATAATAGCCGTATAATAAAGGATCGAGCGCCGTATTGAGAAATACCATAAGTTGAGCCGCTCTCCAACCCAGGCCGTGGGAAGCCAGGTTAAAGTACATCAGCGTTCTAAGAATCATAAATGAAGACCAACACATAAAAAAAGCAAGAGATAGAGCTGCAAGTGTCTTAGCAACTCTCTTTTGTCTTTGGTTTGATTTCATGATATGCGAGTTGCGCATTGGAACAATGTTCGCTCGAAGAGAGCGAGAAATTTTTCGTTGCGTGACAATCATATATGTCAATGGAATAACGAAGAAAACTATTGCATGCACAGTGTAGTATATTTGCCTTCCAGTGCTCCCCCATGTTGTGTTGGCACACACAAGTTTGCCATCCTCGTTGGGTTCGACTCTGTAAATATGTGCTATTGGTAAGCAGATGACCAGGCAAATACACCAGATGGTAACTAGTTTCATATATTCTCTACTTGAGAATCTTCCACTCCTAGAATTGAAGGGATCTGTTACAGCTTTGAGTCTAAGGTAACTTATAACTACAAGGGTTGTGATTGAAGAACTATAACTCGTTTCGATGAGAAATCCTTGAAGTTTGCATGTTGCGTTGCCGCCGACCCATCGCCACACAACACTAATGGCGTTGAAAGGAGTTAGACAAGTAAATAGAAGATCCGCAGATGCTAAGTTGGCCACGCACCACATTAAAGGAAACTGATTTCTTTTTAAGTTCCGATAACATGTCACCAAAACCCATATGTTACCCACAAGTGAAACAATGAAAACGGTGCCGTAAAATAACAAAAAGAAGATTAGTAGCGGAGAGAAATTGTCGTTATATGTCATCTCTAGTGATGTTAATCACTTATTTCTTCCTTGCCTCAATCAATCTAATTTGAACGATTTTCTGTGGAACCTCTCCTGTTTCTTGTCGGTTAGGTGTACTGCAGAAATAATAAAATTACAATATTTTTAAGTTTGCTTGTTTGCTCGATGAGGGCTTTAAGGACTTCATCCAGCTTAAGTTCTCTTGTTTTTTTTTGTTTTGTTTTTTTTAGTTTTTGTTTTTTTCTTATCTACCGCAAGAAACAAAACAAGAGTCCATTCAAATCGCAAAATCACTAATTATGTAAATAAGTGTGGCTAAATATCATGGATAAGCAGTGGTTAAGATTTAAGCTTACTTGCGAGTTTCACACATTCATTTTCCTGTTTTTTTCAGCAATTTCACGTTCGATTTTGTCGAAACTGCAGTGTAAGCTGTTACTTAATGACCTAATGAAATACTCAGTAGTCAAACGGTAGAATAATTTCCGTCTTGTTATTTACCGTTTTTCCCAGCGTGGAGTATGTGGTTTTCAGAGGCTGAAAAGAAAGCGAGAAGTTCTTGAAGCTTCTTAACGAGTTGGGGTTGCCCTCTTAATCACATTTAAAGAATATTACACTTGACTGACTCGCTCATATTGATGAGAACATAAACGCCGCCACCCGGCAAACAGAACTTTCCAGTATGACACGAATTGCTGAGATTAATCTCCGTGATTATTCCTTTGAAACAAATATACGGTTAAAGCCTTATAGTAAGCACAATGCATTATTGATAAAGTACAGGTGTATGTATACATTGACTGAAAGCCGTGAAGTGCTTAGTGATTACCCGAGATGATGCGGATGCTGTAGGTAGCGCAAAATTCTGTTTCTGCTTTAATCTATCTTCTATCTTCATGAATAATGCCTTTATATAATTTCGTGTGTGCTTTTACTGCTTCCTCCTCTTACTTTACTATTAAAATTATTCATTACAGTTCTCCCTATTAACATTTCTATTCGGACAACAATCGTAGGCTTTCAATTACTCGAACCGGAGCTGCAGAATTGCCAGGGGGAAATTTCAAGTGGCATTTAGAAGTTTCTTAAAGCTTTTAAACATGCAAGGACAGAAGGCCGCTTTTTCTAGAGACGTTATTTAGATTTTCAGTTTATTCCAAGTTTACAAAGTTACACCCATTAACGTCAGTGTGTCCTTTGTTTGGGTAGCCTCTGTCTCTGTTCTTCTCTCGACTTTGTCCGCTGTGGTGCATCGCCAATATTTTCTTGTGCTACAATCTTTTCCTTTTTCTTCGATCTTTTTCGAGAATCAACGATATTATAGAAATGGCATGCCTATTTGTTCTCTTAAATTTTGTGAACAAATGACGTATGCTAATATCCATCAAAAAGACCCAGTTATTTGATCTTATTAGGAAGACTCACAGGTTCTCTGTAAACATTGAACATTGGAAAAAGAGCAGGTGTATGTAAATTGCCATAATGTTTGAAACACTTCCATCATTTAAATTTTCGACTTGAACTCGACAACATTTTACAATAGACTATTTATTTTTTAATGGGACTTTTCCAAGCCTGTTTTCACAAATGGCCGCTATGTAAAAACTAATTTCAAATCTGAATCCATACTTTTTGTTGCAAACGTTTTAAGTTTTACATAGAAATAGTTTGAAAGCAATTGTCAAAACTGAATTGAAATTATTCGAAAAATTGTCAAATTTCAGTTCTGACCGGCCTTTGTTGTACTCTAATGTATGAATCTTTTGTTCAAATTAAACCTCGTTTCGGACGTGTCTGTGGTTGTTGACACTTCTGGAGAATTGTTTGGTTATCAGCTGCACGTTTTCAATAGAGTAGGGATATTGGAAATAATGATGATAATGAAATAAAAATGATGATGATGATGAAGATAATAGTAACGACAAGTTATTATTTCTTTCCATCAGTCAAGAACTTAGCACTTGACAAGCAAGCAACTGCCTGCCAACTGTCTGTTGTTCAAAGTTCTTAGTCCACTGGCAGTGATAAGATGACAATAGCTTGATTCCGTAGTCTTTAATCCATAGTTCGTAGTTTAGGTAGCCCTCGTTTGTGGTTAGTCTGTGGTTCGTAGTTGCTGGTTGTTGTTTGGTGGCTCGCGGCTCGAAGTTGGGGTGTTTCGTGGTTTCAAGCCGGTGATTCGAACTTTTTTCCTCTTTCTTATTATGATGATGATGATGATTATTATTATTTTAATTATTATTTACCTTGCGGAATTTCTGGCAACGACCACCTTTCTAAAATGCAAAATGGGATCTTTTGGGACAAGTCACTCCTATTTGACTCCCTACCCCTTTCCCACCCATACGGCAACAGCCAAACAGCTTCAGCTTGTTCAAACCGGAAAAATGACCGCACAACGGGCACGATGAACGTAAGCAAAACAAACGCTTTGCTTTGACAGCTTTATTTCGCCAGTGATTTCCACGATAGTAAGTGCAGATCGTTGTACGAACTGTTTTTCTCATTGAAGCCTATTCGGTTTGTGAGCAATCCTCTCTTTTTTTGTGCATATGTGCTAGACAATATTACTTCTAATATGATAGAATGTGACCTGAAGGACTCTTGGGACTAGTTGACCCCGAAGAAAAAGAGATCCCCTTTGAGCATGTCACCGCGCGAAACAGAGTGCCTTGCTGACGCCTCTGGTTTGAAACGAAGGAGTTGAACCATTGTGTAATGATGTCTGTGGGTAAAGTAGTGCTTTGTGAGAGCAAAGTTTAATTCATGTGCGACCTTAAAAAATCAGAAGATTTCCGTTTGTTTTTATCTGCCACCTTTCCCGAAGTCTTAAGTGTCTCAGATGAAAGCCAATGGTGCAGTAGTAGCCCTTTCCAGCCCGAGAGTGCCATATGGCACGAATGCCATTACTTGCGTACTATTTGTTCATTTTTTTCTGAAATTTTACAATCAAAAGGTCATTGAAAGATCTGCACACTGAAGGCATAAAATCATGGCCCCCTCCAATATAATACTTGGTTTACCACCCCTTCAACTTTTGAAACTTTTTGTCTTTGTACTGTTTTGGTTCAGGTGATGTCTCACCACAATCAATGCTCTGAGAGCTGCCATTTAGGCTATAGTGTAGTGGTATACCCTATATGTACAAGGCAAACAAAAATTTTCAACGTTTTTTATTTTTCACTTTAAAAAAACTTCTCAGACTTTTCAGTTACCTTCTCCGCGCCTGTTAGTGTCATTTGTAGCATACCCCAAAAAATACCTTTATAATGATATATTAAACATGGTCTAGTGGTTCATCATTCTTATTTTAGAAAAATTTGGCATTTCCCTCGGGTAGGAAAGGGTAGAAATGGAATTACGAAGGAGGGAGAGTCAATGAAAAGAAAACGACAAATTTGCCCACACACTTCCTAGCAGGCGTTCGCCCTGTCAGCTTTGGAAGCAGAAATTGTCTTGACATTAGTGGCACGGGAACTGAACTGTGATGTAGAATGTAGAGAGGAGATAAAAAATTTGAAAAAAAAAAGAGACATGAAGACGGAATAAAGGTTATTAATGCAAACAAGGAAAGGGGCGTCGATTAAAAAACAGTTTCAGCTACTAAAAGCCTCGAGGAAGAGACAAGGAAAAAATCAAAAGTACCTTAAGGAGATAATGAACCTTTGAGGTCCATTAGCAGAAATTATACATTCATTTCAGCGCATAGTTCGGCCGGTAGTACAAAAATATTTTCATGTGAACTGAAGATCCTGAGTTAACACAACTGTAGTTCCATTAATAAGCAGTAAGTAACATTTAATAGCATCGTAATTGACATCCTGTTTTGTTCAACAAATTAAGGATCGGTTTCGTTTGAATTGTTATTTAATAGCTTCCGAAAGGAATTCCTCAGTAGTCAAACGTTCACAATATTTTTATCTCGTTATTTATCCCTTTGCTCGGCGAAGTTCGTGTGATCTCTATAGGCTGCGAAAATGGCGAAGAGTTCTTAAAGTCGTTGAGTTTGCTCCTTTAAATATGATGCAGCGACTTTTTTCCGTGATCAATACGTCATTATTAATATACGGTAAGAGCCTCCTGAGGAGAGCAATGAACTATTGATTAAATACAGGTGTACGTATACGTTGCCTGATGGCCTTTAAGAATTAAAAGGGGTTGCTCAACCTCTGCACTTAACTTTAAAGAAAAGAGATTTCAATAACGCCATTACATCCCAATTTTTTCCGCACCTTTCTGTTCATAATCAGAAACGAATTCCACGCACCCGTTTCTTACTGAAACGATCATAATTATAAAATGTTTATTTTCCTAAAAGCAAAGCCGAATCGGCGGTTATGACTTTCTTCTGATATAAATTTTTTTCCTCATTCAGTTTCCTGCAGTTCGTTTCGATGGTTAATCCAAAACGTTTGCACTTTTTGTCACAGCTGACTCAACGCCAACTAAAATTATTGGCGTTGAAAGGAGTGAGGAAAGTAAATCGAAGATCCGCAGATGCCAAGTTGGCTAGGTACCACATCAGAGAAAACCGATTTACTTTTAAGTTACGATAACATGTCACCAAAACTAGCGTGTTACCCACAACTGAGATGATGAAAACCGACGTAAAATAACAAGGTGACGACGTAAAATAACGAGATGATCAGTCGTGCAGAGAAATTGTCGTTGGATGCGAATCGCTTTCTTTTAGTTACTTGTCCTAGTCAATCTAATTTGAGTGAGTTTCTGTGGAGCATCTGCTGTCTCTTTCTAAAAGGCTTTGTTGGTCAAATGTACTGCAGAAATAATAAAATAATATTTTTTTTAAGTTCGCTAG